GAGATCCTACGGCACTTCCCCTCGCGGACAACACCTGAACAACAGCTTGGGCCTTCGGTGAGGCTAGGATAATGCTCCACACGTTCTATGTTGTTCTGTGACGCCAACGTGTCTGAACCTGAACATCCCGTGCATTCACGCAGTGTTGAACATAAGAACATAACAGGAATCGGTGCAAACGGTCCGAACCAAGCCGAAACTCTCTTTGATTTCAAGCTATTGAGTGCGCGGCGTCTGCTGAAAGTCTCGTTGTATGGACACTTGGATGGCGGCAGTCCAGGTAAATTCTATGCATGTTGCAACCTCGCAGGTCTGACCGCTAAATTCATCACGACGGTACTCGCTGGACTCCCGGCTCCACAGGCAGCTGGTGCGTTCCGCAGCCGAAGCTGATACGGCGTCAGAGATTGCCTGAAAAAACCAGAAAAGACTGTGTTTGCTGTGTCTTGCCGTCCTGGAAACTCCATGTCAAATAAAATGTAAGACAAAGATCACAGATCTCTGTCCCACGGGGCGCCAGGTGGCGAACCGGCGAGCGGAACAGCGTGCGGACAGTTCTCAACACAGGCATGAGCACTGGTTTGAATTCATAGTGACAGGGGTTGTACCTCTCCTCCCGGCAGGGAGGATACACTATACAACGCAATCCGTGGTTGGGCCTTCTACGCAAGAGCTGATGTGTAGGATAGCAGTGTAGAGTGTAGAGTAGAACTGCTGCCCAAGCACTTGGGCCCAACCGCTCTGCATGGTCACAGGCCGACGGAGTGCTGATGCAGTCTGCGGCTCGGATGGTGACAGCACGCTCCTGGGAACGGCACACGCGTCGCACTCCCAAGAACAGCACCAGCAAAAGAAGTGTCTGAGAGCTGTGCAGGCGACTGGCCCAGCATCGCAAGCCTTAAACCATCCTTAAACCCATGCCAGAGGATGCGGTTGTGACACACAAGCTCTGCTTCGAGCCGAGCTGTTGGGAGCCGCGCTCCCCAAAGGTCGCCCCAGGCGAGATGCGGGCGATGGCGCAGCCGTCGCGCTCAGCAACGACGATGCCGCCTGGGGGGGCTCGCTCCGCTCACGACCAATATCAGAAGGCGGCATCATGCAGCACTACCACTCCCGGCCTGAGAGCACAAACATGCAAGGATCCTGCTCGACGCAACCCTCCACCACCACCGTCTGCCCGTGCCTTCTCAGTGCAGCGCATCGGCGGCTCGCAAGGCTCAGGGAAGACGTAAGGCCGGTGCAGGTACATGGCAGACGTCACACGAGCGTTCAAGGCTTCCAGAAAACCCGTCTTGCGAAATACGCTCACAACTCAATTTGCAGGAAAGCTGCGAAAGCGATCGGCTAGCGGACCTCGCTGAATGAGATACTGATCTCCTTTGCAGCTTTGGCTTTGCTCCCGCGCCGCACCTTGCTGCCCGAGATGCGGCCACCCTGTGGGGAGTCAAAGTGCTCCTGCGAAACAACCCGCAGACTGTTTCCCTCAAGGGCTCTGCTCTCTTCTCCCCCCGGCGCGCCGTCTCAACAGGGTGCTTCTTGAGGGGCCAAGGTGCAGAGACGGCCTTTCAGAGAGAAGGAAGCCACAGCCACAGCAGAGAAGAACACCCCACAGATCCCCACAGCTCACGGAGCTCATAAAAGCTCTCAACAGTTGGCCATCGCCGCCTGGCAATCGCCAGGACAAGCGCAAAGGGAGTGAACACCTCGAAGCAAGGCAAGAGAGCTCTGACGTCTTTCTCAACGTTCAGCACTATCTCCAGGCCCCACGCCCGGACTGTAGCATTCGCCTCTTTGGCGATGCCGATCAGCTACAGAGATGATGCAAGCAACGAAGTGCATGCAAGATGACTGAGGATCAGACACCGAAGCAGCTTCCGGCCGGAACTTCGTTCACGGTACCAAGCCCAGCGATCTGAGACCGCCAGAGGCTGAGTATCAGTGCACCATGCTCCAACTGCCGTTTTTTGGGCTTGCAGTGAAGCTTTCGAACTCCGCAACTTGGGCATACATAACTCCCGTAAAGACTCAACACATGCCGCTCTCTCGAAGAGGCGTCCTTGGAATTGCCTCTCATGCCAAGGCTCTTGAAGAGCACCGGCTGAGTTTTGATGCCCACCTGCACGTACCGCGCTTGCGCAAGAGATAACTCTGACCTCTAGCTGAGAAAGAGCTGCCTGGCCGGGACCCGGGGCCCGGGAGCTCCGCGACCTCGCCATCCTCGTCGGAGATCACTTTGCATCCGAGCTGCTTCGGCATCCTCGTCACTGGGCGTGGTGATGCGTGGCGACGGAAGTTCAAAAAGACCCACCATTGTCCCAATTGTGATCGAATGCGATCGACGAGATGAGCCTGAAGGCAAATTGTTGCTGAGGGTGCCATACTGCCGTTTACTGGCATCTTGCTGCTACGGCTGTACGGAGTCTTGCCTGGCGGATGTTGTAGGCGTGGGCAGCGGCAGTGGCACCTGCACCCTTCCGCAATCCCAGGTCGCTTATTTTTTGTGGTTAGTCTTTTGAACAACCTGTGCCTTAAGGTGGGCTCCACGCTCGGCGACCGGCACGCCCGGAACGCCCACGCCCAGAAACACACTCCTCAGCGCCCTGACTCCATCCAAGCCCACTCACACTTGTCCAAGCGATGCCCACAGCAGCCGAGGCACAAGGATCCGAAGTCGGCAGCCGGACCAACCTCATCCAAGGCGACCATGGGTCGCCTTCCTCAGAACCCCATGGCTTCTGGCATCGTGGTTCTGGTGTGCTGACTGAGTGACTGAGGCAGCCGCCTGGGCCGGACAGGCAAGCGACCGGGCCACTACATGAAAGCGACGTCGGCGGAACCAGCGGCTCCCACCACAAAATTCGACGAACCCAACCTTCTGATTGGCCTGTGCTTCATTGCTGCCTCTCTTGCTGCTGCTCTTGCAATTTGACCCTACATCAGCATCTTGGACCGTGCTGCGGAGGAAAAGGTGAAAGACATCAGGAAGTGGCCGGCAAACCCCAATGCAAAAAAAACCAGAGCACATGCGAATCTTTGAAGTGCCTATACCATTGTTTCAAACGACCATGCCTCTGTCCTTTGGTGAACAAGAAAAACTTTCTCAGGGGCAAACTTGACACATCTTTTTCCTCGACCCAGTGGAAACTTACCCATCCGGGCTCCTCTCATTTCTCAATGCCGACCCGGTGCCCTGAAGCTCCTGATATTGCTCAAGATTCATGAGTACGAAAGCCCGCGGCCTGGATTGCATGTGGGTGGCTGTCAAACTGATGGTCCCTTTCTGGGTACCCTGAATATAAGGTGCCGTATTATACCAAGGACCCAAAAAAGTACCATAATTTCGACAACCACCCATGTAGTTCACACAACGGCATCACACAGTCTCATTGAGGCGGGCGTCCACCACGCTGGCGCCGAAGACCACGCTAGGCGTAGCGGTTGCGGCTGCCACCAAGATGCCGAAGCACGGCGTGGACCCCATACGCCACTCCTGGAGTGTTCAGGATTATAAGGTTTATTTACATGGCTTAGGGTTTAGGGCTTGAGGCATATATGGGGGCACAGGACGTTGGCACGGATGCTCAGTCCCACATCCCAGGACTCGAGTTCGTCCTCTGCCAAGGTGTCGAATACAGGGGTCTTAACAACTAGGCCAGGGTTTATGGGTGTACTAATTATTATTACCGTAAACTTACACAAGGACCACCAAGGAACTGTCTAAAATCAAAGTCTGAACCATGCTTCAGATGAGCTTGCCGAGCCGCCGAAAGTGCCTACGCCGAAGATCCAGAAGAGACGCTGCGCCACGGCGGGGCAGATCTGAGTGGGATTTCGGGTTGGGGATTTAGGATTTTAGGATCTTACGGTCTAGAGTTTTAGGGTTTAGGGTTTAGCAGCTTAGGAAATATCAGGCTTAGTTAGGGATTTAGGGTGTATAGGTGTGAAAATTTAGGGTTTAGCGTCTGGGGATTTAGGATTGTAGGGTCTGGGCTTCAGGACTTTAAGGTTAGAGTTATGGGGTGCAGCTTTCTAGGAAATAGGTGATGGTTGAGATTTTTCAGTTTAGTATAGTCTTTTAGGATTTAGGGGCTTTGGTCAAATGCTAGGAGGCGGACATCTAAACCGCTAGGTCAGCCAAAAGCTTCCATAAACTCCCAAACCCTGAACCGATGAGCTGCTACATGGGTAGTTGTCGAAATTAGGGTCCCCTTGTGGCCTTGTGGGTCCTTATTATAATACGGCACCTAATATTTAGGGTACCCAAAAAGGGACCAAAATTTTTACAACCACCCACATGGAACTGCACGGTGTGCTGGCAGAAGCCGTTTACGCCTTGCAGTTCTTGTTCTATATCCTGTTCTCCAAATACAGGACGACGAGCAAGTGTGCCTTTGGAGCCACCGTGGGCCTTAAACTAGGTTTCTGGGCTTCTTTGTCATATACAGTTATGATGTGGGGACTTACGGAACACTATTGGTAATATGGGGGCCTTGACAATTAGACTTGGTTTTGGGGAATATCATATTATAACTAAAAATGGGAGCCCCAAAATAGCACTGGTAAATATTACGGCCCCCATGCTATAGTACCCTTATAGATCCCTTATAGTTACCCTCATAGACCCCTTTAACGAAACCCTGGGAGAAATAATATTGGTAGGCTTCTACACTAGCAGACAGGCAGCTCCGCCAAGTCCGCAGAGAAACCACGAGGAGGCCATGATAGATACTGCTGCAGCGAAAACCGGGGCGGTGCCACCTCGTCTGACTTTGAGGTGGTCAAGATACGGCTGATGATATATGATGGTACCGCATATTCCTGATTATATGCCCATCCTGAATTTCCCATAATAACGAATATACCATAATCAAGTGTAGGGTCAGACCTGGGGGACTGATACTACATATAGTTACATATAAGGGCCTTTTTGGGGGATGAATTGTGTTTGTGGCTTCCTCTACGGTTGGTTTTGATTTGTTCTACGGGTTCGTGGAATGTAGTTGGTACTTAATTAGAATAAGGTGCTGGGGTCTGTTCTGCTCTGGTTATCACAAGGAACCCTATGGAATAGCATTTGTAACTCTTGTGACTTCGACATATATTCTGTGGTGCAAACTTTCGCAAAGGAAAAGTGTTGGTCTGTTCTGTCTGTCGGGATCCAGGTTCAGGAAATCTTGAATTGGGCCTTGAAGCTTCGCACCAGCAGAGTTCAGAACAGCGGGCTTATAGCGGACTTGGTACTGCGAGTTTCGTGGATAAGGGCGCGAGATCATTCGTCTTGGGCAGTAGTTAGTGAGCTGGCGGGGCTCATGTCTTCGGGATTTGGATTTATATAGCTCAACAGATAGATTGACTTGGGGTTAACTTGTGCAAAGACAGGATCTGAAAAATCCATCAGCCTGAAAGCGTTCTCGGGCTTTGAGATACTATATACCTGCATTACATCGATCTTGCAACTGCAACCGGAAGGCCGTTGTTTTTCAACACATACACACACAGACAGATAACATCAGAAACTACGGCGATTGCAGGTGCAGTGCTACGACCGTCATCCCAAGTTCTGTGCCACAGTGCAATGCTTCGTCAGTGACGCGCTGAGCGACGCACCGGCAAAAAGGGCAAAGAACCACCTGTATACAAAGGATGGTGACAAGCTCTACCGTTTTATGCGGTGCGGAAGGCATCTACCGGCCGTCGGGAAATAAGTCCAGTCTACAAGCACATGATCGAGAAGACCTCGAAGAACTGTGGCCAAGAATCTGTAGACCTTCATGTTACAACCTAAACCCTAAACCCCCGAACCATAGGTAGACCCTAAAGCCCAATTAAAATCTAAACCGTCATAACGTCCGGATACGTCCGGGAAAGCCGACGAAACCTGACATTCACTGTTCACTTCACTTCCACGCCGAACCCTGCACCCTCAATCCCAAAATCCCCAAGAATGCGCGCCTTCGCTTGGCACGAAACTGCAAACCCTATCACCCGAAGATGAAACCATAACTGTTACTTTAAATCCCGAACCCCCCAACCCTAAAGCCCTAGATATGAACCCTAAAGCCTGAATCCTAAACCCTAAACCCGAATCCTAAGCCCTAACTCCTAACCCCGAAGCCCAGAATGAAACCACGCCCGGAATGGCTCCCTGAAGCTCCAGGGTTTACGGCTTAGGGTTTGAGGTTTCAGAGCTAAGGTTTCGGGTTTAGGGCTTTGGCCTTCGGGGTTTGAGGGTAATTTCGGGTTTAGGCTTTCTGGCTTAGGTTTCGGGGGTTGTGTGCGTAGAACTCCAGGTGCAGATCGAGAAGCACGGCTCGGCAAAGAGAAGCGTTGGCCTGCTCAACACCTTCGGTTTTAGGGATAAGGGCTTGGGGTTTAGAGTTTGGGGTTTAGGGTTTAGGGTGTTCCCGCATCTGTGCAGTATGCACAGTACACGAAAATACGAGCATCTACGGGTGGACTCCGGCGATACCGTGGTACCATGTCTGTCAAGTATCCAAAGTATATTGGAGATCCAAGCATCTATTCGGCGCAACGGTGTTCCCGCGTCTGTGCAGTATGCACAGTACACGAAAATACGAGCATCTACGGGTGGACTCCGGCGTTACCGTGGTACCATGTCTGTCAAGTATCCAAAGTATTGGAGATCCAAGCATCTATTCGGCGCTACGGTGTTCCCGCGTCTGTGCAGTATGCACAGTACACGAAAATACGAGCATCTACGGGTGGACTCCGGCGTTACCGTGGTACCATGTCTGTCAAGTATCGGAGATCCAAGCATCTATTCGGCGCTACGGTGTTCCCGCGTCTGTGCAGTATGCACAGTACACAAAATACGAGCATCTACGGGTGGACTCCGGCGATACCGTGGTACCATGTCTGTCAAGTATCCAAAGTATGGAGATCCAAGCATCTATTCGGGCGCTACGGTGTTCCCGGTCTGTGCAGTATGCACAGTACACGAAAATACGCGCATCTACGGGTGGACTCCGGCGTTACCGTGGTACCATGTCTGTCAAGTATCCAAAGTATTGGAGATCCAAGCATCTATTCGGCGCTACGGTGTTCCCGCGTCTGTGCAGTATGCACAGTACACGAAAATACGAGCATCTACGGGTGGACTCCGGCGTTACCGTGGTACCATGTCTGTCAAGTATCCAAAGTATTGGAGATCCAAGCATCTATTCGGCGCTACGGTGTTCCCGCGTCTGTGCAGTATGCACAGTACACGAAAATACGAGCATCTACGGGTGGACTCCGGCGTTACCGTGGTACCATGTCTGTCAAGTATCGGAGATCCAAGCATCTATTCGGCGCTACGGTGTTCCCGCGTCTGTGCAGTATGCACAGTACACGAAAATACGAGCATCTACGGGTGGACTCCGGCGTTACCGTGGTACCATGTCTGTCAAGTATCCAAAGTATTGGAGATCCAAGCATCTATTCGGCGCTACGGTGTTCCCGCGTCTGTGCAGTATGCACAGTACACGAAAATACGAGCATCTACGGGTGGACTCCGGCGTTACCGTGGTACCATGTCTGTCAAGTATCCAAAGTATTGGAGATCCAAGCATCTATTCGGCGCTACGGTGTTCCCGCGTCTGTGCAGTATGCACAGTACACGAAAACACGAGCATCTACGGGTGGACTCCGGCGTTACCGTGGTACCATGTCTGTCAAGTATCGTACACATCCAGATCTCTCTGTCTCTCCCCTTCTCGCGCTATATCTTCCTTGTTCCGCGTTCTCTTTCTTGAAAGTGAAGAGATGACCTCTGCAGTCTGTCATCAAGTACAACGGAACCAAGACTCAAAAACAAGCCAATGTAAACATGGGCCAATGGATGGGCACTCGCGTGATTCTCTGAAGGTGGGCGCTCCGTCTGCAATGTTGCATTCTTTGCGGGTAGGAGATGCAGGCCAGGAGATCCGGACGAGGATTGCAGGATATGAAGGCAAGCAGAAGCCGGAATCAAAATTGTGAAACACGAGCTGGCAAAACAAGCTAGTCAGCAGCAGGCCCTGAGAAACCAACTCTTGCACTTCAACTCAGGGCGTGACTGCATAAAGTCAACTACGGTGTTCTTTTCCTCGCCTGGATTCTTCGTCAGATCGAAGCCAGGTGTAGGGAGCTTGCTTCTCTTGTTGTTCATCTTTGACTTCTTCGTCTTCTTGGACGTAGTGCCGATTGCACCGCGCAGCTCCGACATTGCGAGCCAAGATCCTTGCCTGGTCTAACCCCTGACCTGCAAACAAGGAGCCAACTGCGGCAGTGCACAGGAAGCGGTGGTGCGACAACAAGTCTCATGGCATGGAGCTGTGGGAGCTGCAAACATATCAAGCGTTCTGGTTCTCCTTGCAATAGCCGGAAGATTCTCGGGCCGGCACCAAGTGGACTGAAGCTGAAGTCCTCATAACGGCCTGGGGCTTTCTCAGGTAGGTAGGTGTGTGTGTGTGTGTGTGTGTGCGCGTGTGTACGGCCTTAGTCTCATGGGATAGCATCTTGGTGTATACTTAAGCATCCGCATACCTTACTGGGGCTTGGTGGGCCCGACATTGCAAGGCAGCGCACCACCTGCTTCTATCATTCTACACCTTGAATGATGCTAAGAAGGATTCTGATAAAGTTCAAACTTCTCTCTTCCTCAACTACGGGGGCTGGGGCGATAATTACCGTGATTCGAGGGCACGAAACCCAACGTTGCATTCACCTGCGCTGCTTGTAAGGTCTTGCTCTGGACAAACACTGCAGTGCAAGAGGGTGTCGCTTCGGACTCTAGCAGATTCAATTAAACGCAGATTCAATTCAAGGCAATCTGTCGTCTCTGGGCACGGCGTGCAGATCGACGAGCTCGGGGCAATGATGGCATGTCGCCATGTGCAGGCTTGCAGTACGGAACACTGGAGACAAGATTAGGGTACTAGGAGACAAGATTTGGGTACTAGGCGCTAGGTTAACGACGCATGCATTGCTGGGGCTACGGCAGATCACAGATCTGATCCAACGCCTGGCGAGTGCAGGCGACATAGACGTGTCGATTGCCGGAACTAATCAAGCAGCAATGTCGTCCTGTCCCGTTCTTGCTGCAGCATGCCCCAAGAGTTATCGGCATGTCGCTGAAGAGTTTAAGGCCGCGGGCTACAAAAAGAAGCCGAACCTAATCCATCCACACTTCTCGTGCAATCCACTCACTTGTCAAGTTAATCTGACAACGTGCTCTTTGAACTCAATGCCACCAGCCCCAATGAGGCAGAATTCCCACTTGGCCTCCAAAGGTCGTGGGTTTCCTCCCGAGTCGGCAGAGCCGCGGAAGCCGAAGCCTCGGGCGCGGCACCTGGGACCCCGGACCGCGTGGTTCCGTCTACTGGTTTGCAGTTTGCGGGGTGCGGAGTTTCGGGCATAGGGTTTTGAGTTTAGGAAGTTTAGGGTTTGGGCTCAGGAGTTTCTCTCGGGCGGCACAAGTGGCAATTCTGAGCGCGGTCACGAACAGCATGAATCAGGGTGGAATTAGAACGACAGCGACCATCGCAATGACAGTGCTGATGGTGATGGCGACGCCATACTGCAACGAAGGAAGGGGAAGGATGAAACAGTACAGACAGTGATCGCAAGAACACCAGTCACAAGCTCAAGAGGGGCAAGCCGAACAGCAGGACATGCAGCGACTTGGCGTCGTGCGGGCAAAAGCCTTCCGAACTCGTGGAAAGGCCCCAGGCCCTGGCAGGACCCCGCTCCGTGGCTTAACCCTAAGAGATGACAAAGGCGGCATACACTAGATGCCATATGCATCAAAGGAAAGGCTCGCGCATCGTGTGCAAGTCGTGGATTCAGGAGGATTCAGGAAGGTCACTCGTAGGCATGCATCAATCCTAAATCTGCGATGTGCCACACCAACCCAAGCCCCCGCTCAGGCATCACAGGAGTTACTGCTGCAACATGATGATTCAATTCAACTGTGTAAGAGGGTCCAGCTGATGCCTACTTACTAAGTCCCTACAGCCACCGCAATCCTGGGCCTTGCGGGCACCGTTTTCGGAGACAGATCCACACATTGCCTTTATATTCAAGTGCAGCTGAAAGATATGACAACTCAGTCTCTATATGATTGCGCTCGACATTCGAACGCCAAAAAGCTCACACTCAAAGAAATTCAACAGAATAGCCACAGGAAGGCCTAGAAAAACGTCAACACAATCAACGGCACATTGCAAAGAACTCTCTAGCAAGAAATGGCAACAAAGCTTTGGACGCAAGCTCGTGCTTGTCGACAATTTTACAACCACGGCTCGCATGGTCTTCGGGCGCTCTCTGGCCAAATGATACTGGTTCCAAAGCATTTTGGGCAGCCTCTGACAGCATGTTGAAGAGCTCAAAGCCACAGAATCATTGGCAATGTGCTCCATGACATTTTGCTGAGCAGCAGGTCGATCACCACGTCAGTTTCCAAGTTGCGGTGTCGGCACTGCACTGATATTGTCCGGGCGATGCGTGCGTGAAACTTCGCGTGGCAACGACACGAATTATGCCGTCGATGCAACCACAAGCCACGGAGCTCTGTGTACTCGACGAAACCACAATGGTGCCAGAAAGAACGTGCTTGTCCAGTTTCACTCCACAAAGGGTGCAAGATTAGGAACGGAATATTGCGTTGCTGAGCATACGCAGCTGCCGCTTGAAACACGGCCCGTCCACCGCCTGATCGGTGCATCGAGCCACATCCTAAAATCTCTAGACCTCGCCCGTTACACTTCACCAGTTGAAGGCCCGCGAAGATCTGAAAGGGACCGGCAATGCGGAGAGCGATGAAAAGAACTTGTTGTAGCAATGCCTCTTTCGTTATGGTCTTGGCATCAATCATTTCGGTTCCACGGCCGCCGTCAAGCCTTGCAAGGATGATCCGCAAGCCTTCCCTTCCAACAATGGATAATGGGTCCACCCGTGTTGCTATGAGCTCCTCCTCCGGCGGAGCTGCTGCCCGGTGTCCATGCTGTCCATGTCCTTCCCAATCGGATTCCTCCAAATTTGAATCATCATCGCATACGTCGCTGCACGCATCACTTTGCGCTGCGCCTGCAGCACGAGCCCTGAACCAAACCTGAATCTTCCGTGCGGATTGTACCCTTTTCAGCGGCAGTGTGTTGCAGCTCAAGACGTCGCGCACCGGCACATTTCTCATCCTTGCATCTTCCCTGACTGAGGCCAATCGCCACCACCAGTATTTCCGCAGGTGCACCCTGAACGCAGCTTGAATTGTCCGGGCTGCATCATCCTCTCTCTGTATCTGGAGGCTGCGCAAGCGCTCGCGCACTTCCAGAATCTTCACTACCGCGAATTTGGCAATGGCACCAACGTAGCCAGCATATGCAACACACCCAATAGCTTCCAGCAGCATGAAGCAGGGAGGCTGTCGGGCAAAAGCTCCGTGAATGAGCCAGAAACACTGCAATGACTAGCAGCATGCGCTGACATGGGGGCCGGCACATGCCAACCAACTTTGGGCCTCCTAGTGGGTCCCGGACATGTTGTCAGTGCTGTTGAGGCACGTTGATAAACACTCTGCAACAGACAATGCGAGACCACAGGTGTCGGGACTGATGCAAAGAAACCGAACTTCTGCCCAGCAGAACTAGTTTCCTACTTGCACATAGCTAGCTTCTTACAAAAAGCGTGATTCACGAGCGGAGCTGAGGTAAAATATGAGGATTTGTCTCGGCCTGGGCCAAGTTCTGTCGCAGCTTCTCTTCCTGCCGAAGCCGTGTTGCTTGCAGCTCGTATCATACGGAGGCGGGCGGGATACTGATGTCAGACCTCTATCGAAATATTGTAAAGTTGTAAAGCTTGTCGGACCCAACTCTCCTGTTGGCAACAAGACGCCTGCAACTCCTCTTCAGCAAACCGGCCGAGGAGATCCTCTTCCTCCGTTTGGGGTTGGTACTTCAAGGGTAACCGGTGGGCTTTACGGCTTTAGGGCTTTGTCTGTGGTCAGTGCATCTCTGTTCCCCTGGCTCTCCATTCAGACTCAAACTGCCTAAACCCTGAACCCTCAACCGTAAACAACCGTAAACTCCAACCCTGTGTCTAAGTTCCCCGTACTCGCGCCTCGAACATAGGCTTGCGAGGCCACCTGCGGCATCTCCTCAGCACCTCGGAGGACAAGTACGGTTCTGTGGGATTTGGGAAAATTTGAGGGTTTGGTGGTGATGACGCTGATATCACTGATAAATAGCTACAGTGACAGTGACGACAGCAAAGCTGACTTTCCTGGCGAGGACCTGGCATTTGCGGAAATTGCAGAGATCGTGAGAATGAGGTTTGCTCGTGAGACGGCAGTGTCCATGCCCAGCACAGAAGCCTCACAATGCTTCTCATGCCGCCAATGGGAGCCGGGATATGAGGCTTGGGGTTTCGAGCCTGAGATTTAGGTCTAGGTCTACTCAGCAAGGACCTCAGCTTCAATCTGCCTGTGCTCGCATGATCAAGCCATCACAGTATCACTGCAAATGCTCGAGATCCTCCTAGTATCTCCTAGTATCTCCTCGTCGTCCTATCTTGCAAATGCCGCCTTCTCTCCCCCTCCTACAAGCAGAATCGGAGATGACCGCCCGCGGAGCGTCTAGCTATGTGCAAGCGACAAGACTCACCTCTCCAAGTTCAACGCAACAACCCGGAGCTGAGCATCCGCACTTGGTGGGGCAAGGCTTTCGCCTCACCTCGCCTCCACGGTCGGTCTGCTTGTGGTGCTAGATATCATGAATCATAACTCATACTGTCGGCCACGGCATTCAAGGTATTCACATGACAATACTGGCAACAATAACATAACACTAACAAGCATCATCATCATCATCATCATCATCATCATCAGCATCATCATCATCACCACCACCACCACCATCATCATCATCATCATCATCATCATCATCATCATCAATAGACAGCAACATATTGGTCATAATAACGAATGATTGAAAAACCTGGGCCGGCCACGTCTACAGGGCTCGCGGCCTTTGTTCGAGCAAACTGTCGGATCTTCATGCCCGAGTCTCATGAACACAAGACAAGCGAGGTACATATATGGCCACATATATGCCTTGGAGTCGGGTTTGGGGTTACGCATCGAGGGTTTAGGTGTTGGGATCTTTCTGGGGTCTGGGGTATGAGCTTGAGGGCTTAGGCTTCAGGGTCTGTTGCTGAAATAGCCCGGCGCATGATAGCAGCAGCAGCAACAATCAGCCTCGTGAGAATGGGGCGTGTTGCTGGTGCTTGCACTAGCAGTTGTCGTCGTGGTAGCAGTGGTAGAAGCAAACTCAAAACACAAACGATAGAATTGGTGATGGCACTCAGAAAAAGCAGAACACGAGCAATAACCATGATGATGAGCACACTGCGAAATTATACTCATCATCATCGTAGTAATCAGGATCACCATAAAGTATTACCCAGGTCTGGGAGCGAGACAAGCTGTTGGAACCAGAAACACAACAGCCGTAGCTGCCACAGCACTGCCAATCACACCCAGGATACGAACTATCTACAGAACGAGAAAAAGAAGCGCGCCATATAATAGTCAACGGCATAGGTAAGAACTCCGAAACTCTAAACCCCAAGGCCCGACCCCCAAACCCCAACACCCTGCCCTGAAATCCTAAACCCGCAACCCTAACACTTCGTGCGAGGCCGCTCGGGCCTCAAGCGAGCCTTTTTGTAGAGCTCTTTCGCCTTTTTGGCAGCCGCGAGCGCCTCCAAGAGTCATCAAGCTTGATAAGGCTCTTCTGGTTTAGGTGTGGCGTTTCTGGTTTAGGGTTTAGGTTTAGGGCTTTAGGGCTTTAGGGTTTAGGGTGTAGTTGTCAAGCTGTTTGACGGCTCGGGGGTGCCTTGTAGGGTTCATAGCACGCCTTAACCAGGGAAGCACGATCCAGGACGCCTCGGAGCAAGATGGAGACCAACCTGCACCTTGGTGGCAGATTTCCTGAAAGTAGTTTTGGAGGCATGGTGGGGATGAGGAATCAGATGGCCAGCCAGCATTCATCTGACATTGCTCAAACAGTCAAGCCAACACTTCTCTCTCCTTATCTTAAACATGTGTTCACACAAACTGCCTGAATGATGATGAGAACTAAGCGATGAATCATGCTTAGAGTCGTAGCATTCGCAACCGCACAAAAATCGCGACACTGCTACAGTATGCAAGCTGCAAGCCCTGCCATGCACTCACTTGACATCAAGCACGTTGATGCAACTGCAGCATACCTTTCCAGGCGAGGCAGGCGGGGCCTTGTTGATGCTGCAACCCGAACAGGCTAGCAGCGAAAACTTCAAGCTAGAAAAGGCGCAGAGGATGACTTTAGCTTTTTTCAATGACTTGATCCGTCAGCGATTCGACCACCAAACTCACCGCGGCAACACCGGCTTGGCTCCAAGCTCGTAGCCGACTCCTGGCTCTGCCTGTGGGGCTTGGCGCCGGACTTGTGGCCTTGTCTTCTCCGAGTGGCAAAGAATGCATCCGAGACTGCTAGCACTTGCCCGTAGCAGGTCAGATGCTTCTAATCACAAAAAACGCGCTCTCCCAGGTCTGGGCAGGCCGTTCTGCATAGCCGGCATAGCCTCACTGACATGCCATCATGCAAGAAGCGGAGTTGTGTGTCGCTGAGTTTAGCACCTCTGCAGGGTCACCCTCGTGTTTTGCCTTGAAGAAGTGGGCCTCCAGACCGCTGATGTTCTTCGCACCATGCCCTCGCTACCCCGGATGATGCTACTTATGCTACTTGTAGACGACCATACAAGGGTAGCGAACACATGCGAACACCAGAGTAGGAGCAGGAGAAGGAGGCCGACGAGGGAGGTATGATGCGAGTTGCCGCCGTGAGAAGATTGCTCATCACATCGTTAGATGAACGAGGAGGAGAACGGAATCTAGGTCTTTCTTCTGGACAAGTATGTTCGTATGAGCTATAGTCCGTATTCGCCTTAATAACCCCAATAATCATCCTGTTCTCAGTCCCCCTTTTCTGTTTGGACTGTAGCTCATGCGCTACCATCACGACCAACGTGGGTTGTTGTACTTCCCTTCATGTTCTGGGAACGCTCGCCGAGACTGCCGAGATGATGCTCCCCAGCCAACATCGCCCGAGCACGGCCCAAACGTGACGAAGGAGGTCAGGATATAAACCCACGTGGAAAACAGCGGCTCTACAAGCATGGCTCTCGAAGCGAAAGCTCAGCAACAATCTTTAGGCGAGCGGTCCTTGATGCAAGAACTTCGAAGTGCTGACAGGCTAAACTGGCTGCTACATCTGCACACGTAGAGCTGAGTGATCTTGCTACCCATGTCTCGCAGACACTTGAAGCGGACTGTTAACTGTTGCATCCCAAGCTCCGCAGTCACATTAGAAGAGCAAGCACTTGATTTTGAAAGCTGAGGACTTGCGATGAGTCCGCTCCAGAGACCATGAGGGTTCTAGCCACCCCGCCAAAGTCTTGCACAGCACACCTTCCACAGAGCAACGATACAATGAGCAGCTTGAGTCACCAGCTACAAGTCCAAACACATGGCATCTGCCTGTCTCTACTGATACGATGCCTCTCCACTGAAGGCTGCCAGAACTTCATTGCTTGGTAGGCGCCTGCAGAGGAAACTGATGCTGCACGTGGGGTTGGGTCGGGAATTTGGCAGGAGTGACCCCGGGCTGTTCAATGCTGCTTTGATTACGCATGGTGCAAGCCGGCTTTCTGCAGTGCGGAAACGGTGAGCATCACATAGCATCACCGCACGGAAGCTGAAGCTGGAAACATCTATGCAGCACCTGGAAGTTTCCCAGGCCTCCAACTCTGCACAGCTGGTCGCAAGGCGCAGGCTTTCCCGGATTGTAGAAGCCTATCACAGTTGAGAAGGGGCTGCCCGAACCCTCAAGGCGATGGACCGCGGCCCATGCGACTGCACAAGGGGCCCAGCAATGGATGCCGACGTGCTTCTGCGACGCGGATGGCTCCTCTGCTGAACCCTCCTTTCCCGGCCAGGTGCCTGAGCAGCTCCCTCCCATTCTGCTAGCCTGCGAGCTGCTACGCATTGGGACGTGTCTACCTTGGGCCGATGGCGAGGCTTGTAAGAACGAGCACATGCAATCCTCCCACGTTAGTACGTGCCAGTGGCTAGTTACCGCTAGTAAACGCCATTGCCTTCCAGAGTGTCCCGTAAACGATCTGCTGTTTGCTGATGCAGGCAAGTCTCCGAGGCTTCGGACAACTTTCACTCCCTCACGCGTGATTAACCCTGGGGATCCTAGATAAAACGCTGCTTGCACCTTGCTACCTAGATTTGCGACAGCTGCTGATAATGAAGCGCAGAGCTGCAGCATGTCAATTAATTTGCAAGCAGTCTCCGACACTTGCTGTGGTGGAAGCCGGCGACTGGGAAACGAAGCCCGAGCCAGCTGCATCTTGCCCAACCGAGAACAAGCGAGCGAGATCCCACGAAGTGCAGCGAGACAAGTGTCAGTGCCAAATGCGATCAAATGTCCTTCACACATACTCTTCGTCACAGCCCTAGCGCTGTCGGGCAAGCCCAAGCAACTAATGTTTAAATGTACCACGCTCGTACGTGCCGCGAGCATGTGTCTCAAGTCCGCCGCACCTGCACTTCTCCAATCCTACAGTTGGGTTCTGATGCCTTAATATAGCCTCATGCCAAAACAGCTGCGGAAAAACACTCACCAGCCCCACGACTTCCACAGGAATTACTGTAACGGCTGCTTTAAGTGATTAAGCCCCCTTGTACGATGACTCTGAAAAAATTGGATTGTCTGACAGTACGTTGAAAAGGTTTAATGTTTATGCCGAATGAACACCTAGATGGTGGTCTGTTCGGACGAAATCTGAGGAGCTCCAGAAACCCGACGGGCCCTGAACGGCTGTATGCTTTAAAGTGCCTGAGCTTGTAAACCCAAGCATGGCAACGAAGCTTTCTGCTGGTTCGGGGCGGGAAGAAACATGAAATCAACCACTGGCCACCTGCTGTATTAAATGATAAGTTAAGTGAAGAGAATAAAGAGCCAATTGTAAGGAATGAGAGATAAGCGAAGCGCATGCTTTGATTGCTTTAGGAAATGTGGCTCTTTGTAACCGAAACATTGACATGTTGACCTAACTTTTAAGTTCTTTCCACCGTTTTCTTGTGTGTTTAAGTGAATAGGAGAACATGCTACAGATGCGCTGCTTCCGCTTCTAGAAGCGATTCGCTGTAATGGGGCGAGGGCTAGAAGCTTCATGGATGAACATGCTGAACCCATCAAGTCCCCCTGAGGAGAATCGACAGGAGACATTGCCAGCTGGCAAGAGGACTTGTGCCTTGTGGCATGAACTCTGGCCCTCAGAAGGGCAATTGCGGAGGTACTGAATTCGCTCGTCTTTCGCATGCAGGTTCATGCATCTCTGGAAAATGTATAAATGTGTTTCGCGTCGGCACACGAGATGCACCGACGAAGTCGGGTTCTCCTCGTAGAATCAAATGCCTGGACCCATCGATGGCGAGCCGATACCCGGCAACCTGGGCAGACCAGCTGTAACTCGTGTGCCCTCGTAACAAGCATGCAAGAGAACGGAGTCAACAACCAGAAACTCCGTGGGCGGCCTGCAAGAGACGCCCCAGCGAGATGGGCACGGGCCACAGGGTTGCCTGCTATGTGCCATGAGATAGATCTTGCTTGCAGGTCTTGTCAGCTTAATGGGAGCCCGTGCACCACTCGCAGAAGTCAAGAACACAAGAGCCTGTCACTAGAAGAGCTTCGATTGAAAAAAGCACAAAAGACCGGCTTACTTACAGTATGTGACGGGAGGCACGGGTGTAACCGCAGCTGGTACAGGCAACGAAGCGGCCGCAACAGAGCAATGAGGCTGCGCTTGACTACATCAACAAAGGACCGAATCCTTACGAACAACCAGAGACGAAGTTGGAGGCAGGATCGGAATCGAGCAGTCAGGAAAAGCTTGTGTCTCTTCGTTCAGTCATCAGCGAAAGCCGACCAGCACTCATGTCGGACTCTGCATCAGCAGTGCCAGGACAAATCATGGTACTGTCTCGTCTCCGGAACCCGGGGTGCATGTCAAGGGCCTTGTCTCCTCGGACTTCAAGATATGTTGCGGCATGACAGCCGATGCGCCAAGTTAACAGCCAAATTACACATGCCCCGGCAGACGTGCCTAACACTTCCGACTCCAAAGCGCCGACCTCGTTCAAATTCGGCACTCTTTCGCGCAGCCTGGCCCAGCACTTCGCTCAAAGCCGGCTTTCAAAGACTGCCGAGTGGCATCCGAAGATCGTTGAAAGTCAGTCACTGCTGACATTCAACTGGCAAACGTATGGCACTTAGTTGTTTAGGTGAGGACTGTCAAAGGTTGTCACAACTGTTGCCCGGGTGAGGACAGACGACCCCAAGATGAACCGATAGCCGATAGTGAACAAAACCAAACTCTGAAGCGCCCAACTCCCTTTCGGCACCGTCCCCTAGCAACCAACTAGAATCAACTTCGAGCACACCTTAGTGGGCTTTACAGTTCGTGACGACAACTCCCACCAGCTGCAGACTCTCTAGTCGCCCCGCAAACGCGCAGGCAGCACTGGGCCATCTGAAAGCTTCCTTCTCCTTCGCGGAACCTGGGAACTTGGAACACTCTTCGCATCGAGCCTTGAGTCTAAAGCCTAGACGCATCCCTTGACGACTCACGCTCTAAGTCAGACACGCACTCCGGACTGCCTCATGCAATTCCGCAAAGCACCTGCCGGGAAGGCATGACAATGCAGAGCTGGACCGAATCATGCTGCTACCAGAAGACTTGCGCATGGGGATTCGTCTGCCTGCCTATGCTTGATTTTGCTGTCCTCTGAGTTTGCATTTTCACAGTCCTTCAAAGCTCCGCTGGAAATCGACATATTACACATATGAATCTGCACCTGATGTTGCCCACGTCACCACGTTTCTCCACTTTTGTCTGCCACCGTTTGTACTCGTCGGATTCCTGCATCAAGCAAAAGCACCGGGACCCGCTTCAGCAAGTGGTGGACTTTCGACGCTCAACACCAAACGGAAACCCGTGGATCTCCTGCCAGGGCACCATCAGGTTTGTGGCTTTGCCGTTTGCCGGCTTGGGGCCTATGGCCCTGTATCCTGGTGGTTGTCAGGGTATGACTGCAAGGATCAGATGATCTACGACTGAGCGCAGGGCCTAGAAGCTTCCTTTTGAGAAGGTCCTTCAGGATGTGGCAATAGCCCGCTATCCTGCAGCTTGGATGGCCGTGCCTTTGTCCTTCCCCGTCCGTCTATACATTCCAATCCTCCTTCTTAGTCTGTGTTGCCTTCGTCGCTCTCGATGGGTATGCAGGTATGTCTGAGCATTGTGTATCTCTGAATGTATGGGTTCATGTACGTACACTGGATGTAGGAAAGTAGGTGTGCATGCGCTTTTTTGCGGCGGTATGCATGCTATCTCTCTCTGCCTCTCTCCCTCTCCATCTCTGTGGACAGACTGAGCAAGCTGAATACTGAGAAACCGACTCCATTCCCGGTATGAGCTGCTGATCCTTCATCTGCTTTGCAACATCCTTGGTGCCAGATGCGAGCCCTGGTTCAGCGAAAACCGAGGCGAGCCGCTACGGAAAAGGATCTCAACCATGGCAACCTAAGGTGCCTGCAGCTTGGGAGCCATGCGGACTCCGCTCCTGCCGTTCGCTCACTTGCTTTTCATGATGTTTGTCTTGTAGTGGTAACGATAGGGCAGCCGCCTGAAAGAATTCGAGCACAATCGCCCGGTGTGTGCCAGCCACTTCCTCCTGCTCTTGCTGCGGCCGTGGACCTACCAAGAAAACGCGAAGCTTGTATCGAGGGCAGGAACATCGGGCGAGAAGTGACTCCAGTGCAGCGGCGCATCTCAGGCAAGCCGGCCACTGGCAGAACGTGCCACTGCGAAATTGTGAGGAATCCGCTCTATATAGGTCGAGAAAACTACCCGGGGCGCAGACTGTTCAGCTTCACCAAGAAGATCTTCCCGGTATTCGGACTGCAACAGTGCACAGGCATGGCGAACAAATAGCATTCTGCATGGAACTGTTGCGAAGTGACAAGCCGAAGCATACCTTGACATGTCGTGCTGCATGTTACACTCCGTATCACACCATCATTTGGAGAGACAGCTCATTCGAGCTCAAGCCATGCCTGTCGGGATCCTTATAACACGCAGCCCAGGGCACTGCTCGCACAGCTCTCCTGAAGCTCAGAACTACGACGGGACTAGTCACTCCACCAATTGGGTCTCGGACTCTCAACAACCTGCATGGGCCGAGGACCCTGCGTAGACGTTTCGGCTGGCCCTGGTACCTGGGCGCATGTGCCGCCCCGTCCACTTAGGATGTCAAACATACGTGCTGGATGGGACAGTTGATTGAAGGTAGTGCAACCACACAGCTTGGCAAGAAAACGCAAGGCACAGGCATCCCGATGCCACAACAAGTTGAGAAAAATGATATTGTTTGACTGACATGGAAACGTTTTCTCTACTTGTGAGACCTCTTCCCGAGAATGCCAAGCGCACCTTGGCAGCAGCCTTTGGAGGAGCTTTCCGTGCATCTCATCCTTGGATGAAGCACAGGCATGTTCGAGCCACAAGATGAAAACCCGCTGCAGAACGGAAATCTTGCTCACACCTCTGGACTCTAGCTTCGGCAAACGGTCGAGATGCTGCCGAGCGTCGTAGGAGGACACGGCCCACAAAATGACGGCCTGCGGTTGGTTGGTTCCGCAGTGTCAGGGAATGCAACTGTACCGTCAGCCCGAAACTAAGCCCAGCGCTGTCTCCCTCCTGGAAGCAGTACAAGCAGGCACACCACGATTGGTCCCTAAGCTCGAAGCCGGCTCCAAACACAAATCTTCCAAATCCTCTGGCCGCAAGCCGGTCCTCTCGAGGATCTCCTTGAGTGCCTGGGCCTTGAACTCCTCCTTCTGCGCGAAGCTCAAGCTATCGAAGTCTCTTGGGAAGGAGATCTCCAACTCCATCGGCGCTGCGGTGGCGGGGAGCGGTGGCGGTGCTGCCGCCATAGCCGCGAGCTGCTCGGTGGCGAAAGCAGCGATGGCTTTCGTCGTGGGGTGGTCGAACATCTGCGTGCTCGGAAGCTTCAGGCCCTGCAGCTCCTGACAGCGCAGCACATTGATGCTGACACATCTGTGCTCAAGCGCTGCTTCGACAGACAGGAGATGCGCCGACGGACAGAGACAGGGTCCCTCGGAAGGAATAGTTACGTAGTTCGTCTTCTTGAAGTCCGTTTTATGGCATGAGAGATACGAACCGATGCTTCGCAAAGGCTGACCACGGCCACGGGAACGGGAGCAAGATCGGCAAAAGCCCACAAAACCTCCACAAACCGCCCCTAACCCCCTAAAAAGCTAGGAAGTCAAACTCGGCCTTCGCCACGAAGTTCCGGAAGTCCACTGAAGACAAGGATCCATTTGGGTTGTTTTAAGAGGTGGGGGAGTGCCGCTTTAAGGTTCGGAGTTTTGGGATTTTGGGGCTCTTAGGACACAGTGCCGTTTGAAGGCCTCCATGAGCGGATCATCTGCAGTGAGCTCGTCAACGCCCAAGATTCCCAGAGCGATGCGCTGGACGACCTGGCCACGCTTGGCCTCGAGCTGTTCGGGGCCCAGGCCACGGACAGCCGCCGGGAGGGCAGCGGTGGCCGTGCCGGTCGCGATAGCGGTTTCCTCTTCGCCGGCAAACTCCTCGAGGATGGCAATCTCCGCCCCGAGCTCACGCAGGAAACGGCCCCACTCCACCTCAGGCGAAGTCTCACGCACAATAGATCCTAGCACCACATGATATCAGCATGCTACAGCATGGCTTTCTTACAACGGGCCTGTGCAAAACACAGCGACGGCAAAGGCCATTCGCGGTTGCTGTTTCCCACAATGGCCGGCCCGAAAGTCGCCTGGACGTGGCCGGGCGGCAGCTGCCGCAAAGCCGAGTCGGCTTGCCCAGAATGATCCTTGCAGTGACAGGAGCGAAAAAAAGCAGAGCTCAGAGAGCCCCAAGCAGCGCTTTTTCGACCCGTCCTTGCTGGCCATGCCGACCTCTGCCACTGAGCCCCACTGGACGCTGAAGAAGGGCAAGACAGCCTTCTGCCTCCAGAGGCCTAGGCCGTCCAAGTAGGCGTTGGAAGCCGAGTAGCTCGTGCCGCGCGAGAGCTCCATGAGTGCGGAGGCTGAGGAAAAGCCGACGAAGGATCCCAGGTTCAGGTCCTGCACTGTGAGACTCTTCGTTCGGCAGCCGGTCTCTGTGCTTCTAGTTTAGTATGGGACAGCAATGGACAGCATATGATGGTATATGGCAGTGTACTATATAGTATATGATGGTATGTGGAATTCCATCTCCTTGCTCACTTCGTGCAAGTGCCATGCACCCGACACCTTCGGCTTGAAGACCTTGCTTATGCGCTCCATGCTTTGAGCCTGCAGAGCAGCTCGGCACACTGCGGGCATCTCGAGTTGGGCAGGGTTTAGGTTTGGGGTTTAGCGTTCCCTGCTCCGGTCCAGCAGAAGGTACCGTACCCTGTTTCTGAGTGTGTCACGCAGATAGAAGAGCAGCAGGGACAGGCTCTGAGTCATCGTCAAATGCTTGCCTTAAGCTCAACGACGTGGATGATTCCTGCAGCATGCCTGGCAGGGGGCAAACTTTATCGACTGTTTCTGTCGATGTGCTTCCGAGTGCGTGTCAAAAGCGACATGTGCTGAGCACGCAATCGAAGCATAGCGTCGCAGCCCACCAATTCTACAGATGCTCGGATTAGGGTTCGAGAAGGGTCGAAGGGTTTCGGGTTTAGGGGAATGAAAGGGGCTTCAAGTTGGGCAGTTGAGCTTGACTGCTCAGGGGTTTGACTTATTCGAAAGTATACCTTTTAGATTTTCTTAGCGGGGAGTGGGGAGGGGTTAGGAATTTGGGGTTTAAAGCCCAACGCCTGAACCCCAAACCAAAGGTTCAGGGTTTAGGCGAATCCGAAGCCAAATTCCTACACGCCAAACCCCGAACCCTAAAGCTTAAACCGATGGCCTCGACGGGCCCAGCGTGGGTGGCCAAGAGCCGAAATGGCTGTGGGTGGCTGTAGGTCTAAATAGGGGTATGTCGCGGTGTCCGCCCCTGCCTCTGCTACACAGTTTGCCGCGCCCCATTGTGTCATACGTATGTCGCGGGCTCCCAATTTCGCAAGATGGTTCTGAGGACGGGCTCGTTGCGGAGGCTTTTCGCGCGGAGGCCGTCATTGCCTTTTTTTGCTTCATTGCCAGTGAAGGTCTGTGGAGTCACTGTCGGCATTGTGCAAACCTGAGGCAAGAATCATGGCTTTCGACCAGCTTTGGGGCTCAGAGCCCTCCAATGCTTAAGGAATCAGAAAGAATACGGTGGACGCCACTCAGCGGTACTCTCACAGGCTTTCAACGGCAAGCTATGCCATGCGATGATTGTGTGATGTTGCGAATTCTGCCAACAACTCCCAGCAGTGCAAACTATAGGGCCTTTTAGGTAGGATCTGAACTGTCCTCTTAAGCTGTTCAACTCCCATCTGACAACCCTGACAAGGCGAAAGAAGGAGCCCTCCAATGTGTTTCGGAATGCATCGCAGTTTTTGCAGCGATGGGGCCTGCGACAACTCTGAACTGTGAAAGACCCCAAAAACCAGCATCGAACATAGAAAGGGCGGGGTCGCATTCGGTCGCATCCCTCGCAAAGTGTCCGCACAAGCACCCGCAAGGGCCTCATCGTCAGTGGTGCAGTCGTCAGTGGTGCAGACCATGCCGCATGTCACCAAGAATGGAGGCACTGGTGCCCACATGTACCTGCATGTGGAAAATGGCGAAAAAGGCAAAAAAGGCAACGCCCGCGGAATCACAAAGAACATAACGTGCACACACTCCCATGCTGAAGGAAGGTGTGTTTGGAACGTAAAAAGAGCATAATGGCCGAAAAAGTCTCTGAGCGACACCTTTCTACTGAGAATGCCCCTTCTAACGAGCTTCTTCTGCGAGATGAGGCACACAGACGCACACGCACTCAGACACTCCAAAAACTTTGACAGGGTCTAAGTCTGCCGGTCCGCACGCGAGAATGACTTCAGCAGATGCCTGTTGACTCAGTCTGTTGACTCTCTGAGGCAAAGATTCCTCACAGAGGAGAGGCGGGACCTGTGGAGATCAGACCTGCATTGGCCTTGAAACGAACTTCCAACGCCCCAAGCCCGAGAAGCCCACAACTATGAGATTACTGCAAAATCCGAACCCTGAGGCCCCCAGCCAAGGGGTGCTGGAGTGCATCGCTTGCGGGGCTTGCATCCTGGAACGATTGGGCTCTGACATGGCTATGAAAACCGACCTTCTGAACAACAGAGGGCCAATGTACCAAACATAGGGTTCTGCAGATCAGTGCAGTTCCAACATTGAAAGGCTACCGCCGAGATAAGACACCTCGAAAACCTTCAAATGACTTCCACGGTACCAGCCTCGGCAGCTTGAGTCACCTGAATGTGGAGGCAGACGGCGCGGTGGAAAGGTTCTGGCTTTCAGGGTTTCCACGATTGCTACGGTTGAAGAACTTTTTGTCTTAAGGGTGGCTCGGACTTTTTGGGCCTTAGGACCTAGGATCTGAAGCGCGTGCGCAACTGTGATCAGAAGCCTTTGCCTGGCGTGGGCCCCAGGGCGATGACATGATCGGGGCCCACTCTGCATGTCCAGCACACGCTGCAACAGGTGCCTTCTGTCGCAAGAGGAAAGACTGGGTGCGGGGCCCAGTCTGGGAACCATCCTTCGGATTTTCCAACCAGCGCACCCACCTGCATACAAAAGGGATCAGGTGACTCCCTGACGGTCTTGCCACAGCGCCTTTCTTGCAAATGTCCACCCCGTAGGGTGGCGCTGCACGATCTCCAAGTAGTCCTGACTCTACAATTTGCTTCACAGCTTCTCAGCCTATGCTGCGTGCTGTGTCCCAGGCCCAAGTGTTCAGCGTCATCTCGCACGCAGTCTGGGCAGCGTAGGGCTGGAGGGCACGAACAAGCTCTCGGACCTGCGCATCCACAAACATGCGCCACCAAAAAAATGAACTCGCGCAGAAGCCGGGCACGGCACCTCGGGTCTGTGACCAAGCTCAAGGACCTTAAGAGGGCACACGGCTAGACGCAAACAGTTCACATCAGTTCACCCCCACCGATACACATTACGTATGTATTAAAAACGGCTGTCTAGAAGCGCAGGCGCGAGCGGACTTACACTTTTCTCGTATGGTCCTGTGTCGGTCTGCTAAGCTTGCTAAGCAGGCAGGCAGTCGGAGGCGGGCGAACCGACCCACGATTGTGAGCATGGGCTCATCGGTGCATGGGTGCTGATGACACCCGCCTGCGCTGCTGTCAGACGTCTCCTCATCGAGGCTCGGCTGATGATTGCCTCCGTGCCGGACCGGAACCAGCCGGCTCCCGTCCATTCAGGGCCGATTGCTCCCAGTTCAGCGAGCTGGCCAAGCTCACCGTCGCTGGCGGCTACGCTCTGTTTTCGCCTCTGCCTACCTGCTTGTAGGGTTTAGGATTTGGGGTGTTTTGATGGTGTCTGTGAGCACATGCATGCAGATAGTTCAAGTATGCAGCTACACAAGTCGATGGGCATCTCGATTGGACAGCAACGATGACTTAACCCCCGGACTGGCCTCGGCCCCGAACAGAAAAGGCACGAACTTGCACCCTAAACCCTCAAACCTAAACCTATAGAACCCATAAAACCCATAAACCATGGACCTCATCCATAAACCCCAAACCATACACCCCTACACCCACAAAAACGCACAAGCTGGAGCTCCGCACCCTTTCCTCCTCGGCTTCGTGCAGGTCCTAGGTGCCGGATTCATACTTTAGAGTAGGGTTTCTAGGGTAGAGGGTGTATGTGCCATGGACCTTTTGGTACAATGTGAGCTCTCGTCCTTTCCCTATTAAAAACCATTAAATGTGCCATGCATTAGCATGTCAGAGTCGGGTATAGCAAGTCATCCAACTCTTCTTCGCCTCTTGTCGGCTTTCTCACAAGTGCAAATTATTGTGGAATAGGGCCGAGGGATGAGGCGAAGCAAAGCTTAGCTCCCTGCACCCATCACAATGGCGCTGGTGGCCGACCACGGGGTGCCTCTGAGGAAGCTTTCAGAAGGGCAAGCACACCCTTGAAGCCCCTGATCATCTGAGAACCCCAGCAATACAAGTCCCTAAGTGGCAGCTTGCAAAAAATCTGGGTATCACGCCATACCCCCAAATACATTCTAAGCCACCCTTATGGGAACACCTCTAATTTGCGAAGAAAGCTCAATCTCAAACCCTCAACCATCCAATATCCTTCGAGGCATCGGCCCCAAAGTGGGGCGTTCTGCGCTGACGTGGTGTCATCGAGCCTTTGCACGCTTCTGACGGCTGCGCTTTAGGATTTAGGAGTTTCGGGGCATGGGCTTGTGGTTTCGGGCTTAAGTTTTACACGGCCTTTGGCTTTGAGGATTTAAGTATTCTGGATTGAAGAGGTCTTTGGGGGGGTTCAAGGGCGACCTTCCATCCGGCATTGTGCACAGAATTACGAAGCCTGCTGACCACGGGCGTTTGGCCTTAGAGTCCAGGTTTCGGCCCTTTGGGCTGGATGTCTCATCTTGGGGGGGGGGGCGCGGGGGTGGACGTAGTTCGGGGTGAGGTCCACATGTCGCGGACACTATCCGGTTGAGGTGACTGCAAGGAATATGGCCGATACTGTACATCGGAACCGCTTCCATCCCCGCTTCTGGGTGCGGGTATCCCACCTGGATCCAAAACCTCCGGGTGCCATCCACACTACCTGCAAGGGCAAAGCTGTGCGGGCCGCAAGATTGGAAGTCTTGGGTGGTGTAATTACACGCTCCAACCTAAACTACAGAAGCAGCTCGGTTGCTTGACAGTTTGCGTTTAGTGCTCTGGGTCGAGGGATTCGGACCTCGGGCTTCGGATGGACAAGTAGCAGATACGCAGGGAGGCCGACGGGCGATCGCAGCTGTAGTACTTGCGCGATGCTTCCAGGTCACATCCGCTCTAACAGCAGCGAAGCCACATTTTGGGTGTTCAACATGCCTCACCTCCTCCGAAAGGCACCCCAATCCTGGCACCCCAAATGCAGGAGCTATTGACCTGCTGAATTCCGGCAGTGGTCGCTGCCAGGGCAAAGCTCCGGTTGATGGTGAAGGGTTATTGAAGATTAGGAAAGTCCAACGCGATGAAAAGGTGGCCCAGAACCTGAAAGCGGCCACCGAGCGATTCACCCTAAACCAACCTTTGGGATCACGAGTTTTGCAGAGGCGAGACCTGTCGCACTACAGCACTTAAAAACGGGCCTAAGCCCTAAACCCTCATACTGAGTGTCCTCGCAAGGATCTGCATCAACATCAGCAAAACCACCAAGGTGCTCATGAATTCAGGGCTTTCAGGGCTTCAAACCCGTGAACGTTTCGGGCCCACGCCCTAAACACCCCGCTCCGAAGCCTTATAAGCCCCAAGCGCCACCAAACCCAAGAAGCAGACACTTCGAGCAGACCTCGGGAGGCGGCGGCGCCACGGTTGGCTCGGGCTCCCCTCTTGGGGCCTGAGCTCAAGACGCACGCGGTTTCACACCAACAGTTCTTGAACTTTGATGCCGCGATGCCACTGAGCTGACCGCCGTCGCTCGCCTCCTGGCGAAAACAACCAGCAGACACACACAAGAAAAAGATAGAGGGACAGGGAGAGAGACAAACAAAACGACCATGAAAAAAGAAACAAAGCCAGAGAGCGCATGAAACATCAATGCTGTAAACATTCGATGCAGTGCCTCGGGCTGGGATGGTAAGCGCCGCCGGACCCCGCAAAGATCAGCAAGTGACTGGCAGGCAATTTTTAGAACCCCCGCCGGAAGTGCTGCAAGCAGGACTCCAGGGCCCGAGCCGCTCCCCACTGATGCCGACTCGCTCAGGGACACCCCTGAGAAAATGTTGAACGAGCATTCAGTGATCTACTTGATGCTGAGTGTCTGAGGCGGGGGCCATTTTGGGCTGCTGCTGCGCCCTCGAACGGCCTGCACCGCCCCCCCCCCCCCCTCTCCCCCCCTCTTTTTTTGCCTCGCAAACCCTCCCCATATGGTTCATGGCGGGTAGCGGGTTTAGGGCTAGGCTTTCGGGTTCATGGTTTAGGGTTTCCCCTCTACTGGTCTGGTTCCTGGTGGGATGCCTCTTGGCAAGCGGCACTGTGAGAAATCATAACAATTAGTGAATTCCTTTCCCAAGTAGACGCCGCTTCACACGCCTTGCCAAGAACACGCACGTCAAGAGAAAGCCAGGACTTTTTTGTCACTTGCTGCCGCAAGCCCAAGCCATAACCCACTCCAAACGCTTCACGGGACAGTCTGCTATGCTTCTGCCAGTCCGGGCTATGGCTGCTAAGGCCCTGCGAAGGTACTGCGAGGCACTGCTAAGGTCCCAACAGCACGCGAGCCCCACAGCGGACTTCCGGCCTTAGAGACTCGTTGTTATACGTGCTGGAACCGTTCATTAGTCTGCGCCCTATTACTTTCTAGACAACCTGTCCCACACCTTGCCAAAGCTTCACATCACACAACATCAGCTATGAATGGCAGCAGCTGCTAATACCCAGCGTTTGAGACTGAGGCGGCCGCAACGCCCGGGCTGCTGCTGCGCCCTCGATGGCCCTGTGCCGGCATCTGCCCCCTCTCTCCACCCCCCCCACCCCCCCCACACCCCCCCCATCCACTTTTTTGCCTCCTGGTTCTGGTTCTGTCTGTGTCTTTGGTGACTTTGGGGTGTTTAGGTAAAATATCTAGTGGACATCACTAGACTTTTGTATGCTTAGGAGCTCTATGTATCATATCAGAGATCACAAGACTGAAGCAAAGTTCTGCAAGCATCCGCAAGCCCTGCCTTCTGTGGCTCCAGGGACGTCGAGGGAACAGGTACGAAAGTCTGTTGTTGGCATGTTGTTTCACAAATCCTCCGCAACTGCAGGCGCACCAAGTTTGAGATACATGATGAAGTTGCTGACACATGTGTCTGGGATTTAGATCCGTGTCGAACTGATTTGAAGGGTTGCCAGTCGTAAACAACGGGTGCCCATAGTTTCGGGATTCTGGTTTCGGATCGGCTGGGAGGCAGTTTCGGATAAGAGGGGTGAGTTTCCTCCTTTTCAGTTCGGGGGCTGACGTCTTTAGAGCAAACTACCTAATAGCCAGAACCCGAAACCCTAAACCCCAACCCATCTCCCTGGGGAGGCCTTCTGCACAGCCGCGACACCGGCTTCGATCCTCTTCCTCTCCTGGCGAGCCGCGCAGGCTTGGAAGCTCGCGGATTTGGAAAAGCAACGCAGGGCTAGGATTTATGGGGAACTGTTGCGTGGGGGCAGAGCTTCGTGCTTCAGCTTGGAAAGGCGGAGTAGGGCTCCAAACCAGGGTTGAGAGGGCTCAAGCAGCTGGGGACCTGAAAGGCCACCAGCTGGCGGCCTAGATCCCTTAACCCTGAACCCGCTAAGCAGTAGATCTTGAGGGGGGTTCCCTGCCTGTTGGGGAAAGTGCTGCTTGACGGTGCCCCGCGCCTGCCACCAGTCAAACCACCACTCATCGCCGCCCTGCATGATTGAAGAACCGTGTCACGCTTGACAATTGTTCGAGTTGCGTTGCTCCATTCTCACGCTTGTGCTCTAGGCTGCGCGGTGTAGACTACGATTACGTTTGTGCTGCAAAAGTTTGTGTTGACAGGCCCCGATGTTTCGCCATGATGCTATGCCGGATGCTGGCTCCGGACGCATGAAACCTCCAAACTTAAACTGAACCGCAGTCTTTAAACAATTGCAGGCTGCAAGAACAACCCGTGCGAGGCTGTGGGCACCTCCACCTCCACGCAGCCGCGAGACTCGCCCAGCTCCAAGCAAGCTTGAAACTCGTCAAACGTGCATTAACCCTAAAACCGGTCTTCCAACTGTGGAACAGCCAAAGCATGGAGCCCTTCTAAACTCCCACAAGCCTTCAACATCTTCAGGCCGGCCTTTGCAAACCAGAACGGCCCCGTGTGGCCATAAGAATACGGCCCGAAGCCCCAAGCCCCGTGGTCTCTTGGCGCCTCCATCTCCGGCATGCCCTCCTCCATCGGCTCACTCAGCTTTTTGGCAGTCTGGGCCTCGTTCGTTTCCCAGTCTAAATTCCCTGCATGGGGCGCTTCATCAAGATTCATCAGTCATGCTGCACGCTGGGAAGACAAACCCCCAATCCAGTCTCGGACTCCTATGTTTGCAACCCAAACTGCCTAAACCCTAACCCATCTCCCATGGCCAGAAACTTCTGTATGGAGCTCATCGAAACACTCTACCGAGCTGAGGGCATCTTTCAACAGACGGTCGAGCAAGCCAGCCGCTGCCTCCTTTTCAGTTCGGGGGCTGACGTCTTTAGAGCAAACTAATAGCCAGAACCCGAAACCCTAAACCCCAACCCATCTCCCTGGGGAGGCCTTCTGTACAGCCGCGACACCGGCTTCGATCCTCTTCCTCTCCTGGCGAGCCGCGCAGGCTTGGAAGCTCGCGGATTTGGAAAAGCAACGCAGGGCTAGGATTTATGGGGAACTGTTGCGTGGGGGCAGAGCTTCGTGCTTCAGCTTGGAAAGGCGGAGTAGGGCTCCAAACCAGGGTTGAGAGGGCTCAAGCAGCTGGGGACCTGAAAGGCCACCAGCTGGCGGCATAGATCCCTTAACCCTGAACCCGCTAAGCAGTAGATCTTGAGGGGGGTTCCCTGCCTGTTGGGGAAAGTGCTGCTTGACGGTGCCCCGCGCCTGCCACCAGTCAAACCACCACTCATCGCCGCCCTGCATGATTGAAGAACCGTGTCACGCTTGACAATTGTTCGAGTTGCGTTGCTCCATTCTCACGCTTGTGCTCTAGGCTGCGCGGTGTAGACTACGATTACGTTTGTGCTGCAAAAGTTTGTGTTGACAGGCCCCGATGTTTCGCCATGATGCTATGCTGGATGCTGGCTCCGGACGCATGAAACCTCCAAACTTAAACTGAACCGCAGTCTTTAAACAATTGCAGGCTGCAAGAACATCCCGTTCGCGGCTGCGGGCACCTCCACCTCCATGCAGCCGCGAGACTCGCCCAGCTCCAAGCAAGCTTGAAACTCGTCAAACGTGCATTAACCCTAAAACCGGTCTTCCAACTGTGGAACAGCCAAAGCATGGAGCCCTTCTAAACTCCCACAAGCCTTCAACATCTTCAGGCCGGCCTTTGCAAACCAGAACGGCCCCGTGTGGCCATAAGAATACGGCCCGAAGCCCCAAGCCCCGTGGTCCCTTGGTGCCTCCATCTCCGGCATGCCCTCCTCCATCGGCTCACTCAGCTTTTTGGCGGTCTGGGCCTCGTTCGTTTCCCAGTCTTAATCCACTCATCGCCGCCCTGCATGATTGAAGAACGATGTCACGCTTGACAATTCTTCAAGTTGTTCAATTCTCACGCTTGTGCTCTATGCTGCTCCATGCTGCTCTATGCAGCTGCGGTGCTCTATGCTGCTGTGGTGCTGCATGCGCTCGCTGGCTCAAGGGTGCGCTGGCGAGCCGAATATTAGGGGCCCGGAAGTGGTTCAGCTTCTGCGCTACGCAAGCTCAAGCCAGCTTCCACTGACGCATGCCCTCGACAAGTGGAGCTTGAGTCCAACATCCTAACATAAGCATCGGCGACAGAATCTGGTCTGGTGGACCCCTTCTTTGCGACGAAGCTGTATGGCCAATCATGAGACAGGTCCCTGGGAAAAGGAGATCCTTTACGCACGAGGGAAGTTGTTCAAGCACAGGACATGTAGCAGAGCAGAGTTGACACTCCTTGAGCTGCCGCACCCATGGTCGGGCAACCTCTCGGCAAGATACTCAACTGCTGATCGTCATCAGCCATTGCGATCGCACGTCTCCGTCTCGACTGCTATCTGCTCACGGGCAGTAAAGCACTTCGAAACGAATCGAGGTACTGCAGACCTGGGGATCACTCTACCCAGCTGGAAGCACATAAGCCTTGTAAGGCTGGGCTGGCATGCCACTCCCCAAATCATCAAGTGATTTCATGTTGAAAAGCCGTTCAAAAGCAATGCCTCTCACTCGCAAGCCGAAGATTGACGAGTTGAGAGAAGCCGCTTCCGGAACGGGGCTGAAAGTCGGGCTTTGACAGGCGCAGCTTTGGCTTTAAGTTTCTCTTGAAACAGCGGTCTCCAGTTTCACCCTCCACAACCACGTTCCCTTCGGAACGAAGCACCGTTTCGAGCCCTCGGCGAGGGTGTACACGGCCTCCAGGCCACAGCGCAGCTCGCGCAGCACAGCAGCACAGCATTAGCCAGAGAATCATGGCACGGCGTCTCCGAGCCTCGAAGGGTGCACCAGGGAACACGGTCAGGATGAACCGGCTCATCATCTCCTAGACGTTCTCGTGCGCGACAGCACACCGCAGCTGTGTGGAGCTCTGCCGTGGAAGCGGCTCTATGACTTGGGCTGCAGCCGTCCAGACAGAGGTCACTTCATCGCCTCAGGTACAGACAAGAATCCACAATCGGCAGAAGCTCCGGACTCGTCTAATAGCCGCTCTCCCTGCGCCGAGCGAAACACAGTTCATACCAAAGTTTCCGAGCATCTTCATCGTCACTTCAGCCTGCCAAAAGTGGAGCATTTGTACCCACGTTGTCGTACCGGGAGCATGCCTCTCCCAATTTACGATCGAGCATGTCTTGAATCTTCTGCAAAGGCCTCGCGTGGACGAGGCAAAGGCGTGAGCAAATGAGCTCTCTGGTAACAAAAAGCGACACGAAGTCCAAGCTAGCAGCGGCAACGCCAGCACCTGGGCCGACTCGCGTCTCAGCCTCTCCTCAGTCACGAGATCTGGGCCGTGGCTCCACCTGCTGGCAGGGACGCGCCGGCCTGATGTCCGGTGCATGGCCCTCCTCGGGCGGAAAACTGCTGTTGCCTTGGCGGGATGTTCGCCGGCTGCTGCTCCGGTGACTGTCTGGCACAGAGAGAGAGAGAAAGAAAGAGAAAGAGAGAGAGAGAGAGAGACAGAGAGAGAGGGAGAGAGAGAGAGAGATGTACAATATATATATATATATAGATAACTGGGGAATTCGGGCTGCACGCTTACATGTACAGATACGTTTGCATCTACATCTGCATGTTTATGCAAGCAGCTACAGATCTGTCTACAGTGGCACATACATACATCCATCCATGCATGCATGCATGCATGCATGCATAAAACGAATGCTTCTGTATGTAATATATGCCAGGTGCCCCCCCACAACACTTATACAGTCTTGAGGTTTGCATAAGCCCTACATTATGCACGTAAACCCATAGCTTAACAACAGATCTCACAGAAGGTAAGCGTCATGCTGAAGTAGATAACATATACAGCTCATAAAGATTTCAGGGAAGCTGTCTTGAAGCAAGCGGCAGCAAAGTTTTGAGAAAGGTTGCGCATTACGTTCAGTATTGGAAGAGGTTTTGAAACAAGCGTGAGAATCGATGCGCAAGGTGACACAAGATTCAAACTTCTGGGCCTCTGACACTGTCAAAACAGCAATGTCTACTTCCGACGTTTTGTGAAACTCAGAAACATGCAACTATAACAAAGTCTGGAACGCCATGTGCATATGGCGTAATGTACCTATGTACATATCTTTTAAATAACCAAGCATGAAAATGGATATAGAGATAGCGCTCGATATGTATATATATATATATACATATACATATAGAGCGCTATCTCTATATCCATTTTCATGCTTGGTTGTTTAAAAGATATGTACATAGGTACATTACGCCATCTGCACATGTACCAAGTTCTACAATTGCCACACCTACTCGCCAAGCGGCACTGCAAGCGTGGCAGACCGAGCTGCGATCTCGAACGCCCTCATCACCTTCCAGAAATACCCCACCCTAGGCGGCTTCCCTTCCTTTTGGTTTACTTGAAAGGCATTAGGGCTGATGCATCTGAGCTGATATCTCCTCCTAGGGTTTAGGGTTTCAGGCTCTAAGGGTTGAGGGTTCAGGGCCCTGCAACCTTAAACATCTCTGACTTCGACAGCCCTCCACCTTACAAGCCGTATCAGGCGTGGAGCCTGAAGACTCACAAGGACATCATGCTGCTTGACGTGGCTGGAAAAACATCTCAGGGCAGTCGCCATAATTATCTACTTATTTATTTATTTACTTGTTTATTCATTTATTTATTCATTATGTATATGTGCAGAATTATACATATATATATATATATATATATGTATATATATACATATATACATGTGTGTGTGCACATATATATATATATACACATAAATCTAAATATCAATACAAACATATATATATATATATATATATGTGTGTGTATGTGTGTGTATGTACGTATGTATGTATGTATGTATGTATGTGTATGTGTATATATATATATATATGGATCTATATATATGTGTGTATATATATATATATATATTGATATGTATGTATGCATGTATGTATGTATGTATATCCACCACAGTCAAGCCTCTATGCAAGATTCGGATACTGCGGTAGGACAACCTGTAAAGGGATCCCAGCCTTGCAAGAGCTGTAGCTGTTTCGGATGCTGTCTCTGAAGCCAGCCTTCTATCCTAGACCCTACACCGACACCATCATTCCGAAACCCAAACAACCTCCCCGAAGCAAAAAACAACCAACAACCCCTGCTAACACGGCCCCAAACCAAACTGGAAAAACCTCCCAAGGTAAACGCCACAGTGCTGCCCAGGATCGGCTACAGTGGCAATGTATCCAGCCGACGTGCGGAACTGCACCTGCCCCACTTTGTTACCGGCTGGGCTGGGCAAAGCCCTAACATGCTCAGAGCTTCAGGTTTAGGGTGTAGCGTATGCGGCTTTAGCTTCTGAGGTCTTAGCTTTTTGGAAGTATCGATAGGCTTAAAGGAAATACTGATGCTGTTATGTAGAATAGTGTTTAGGCTGTTTAGGGTTTAGGATTTAGAGCTCAGGGTCTAGGGTTTCAGGTTTTAGGGGGCTGATGGGCCGGTGTTGGTCACCTGAGCCCGAATCGAACCCTGTGAGCCCCTACAAAATGACGCGTTCAGGGTTTAGAGGCTAAGGGTTCGGGTTTTCTGGGTTTAGGGGTGTCATCCTTTTGGCATTTCATACACACTTCTTGAAGCCAACAATACGCTTAGAGTCGTGTCTCAGTGGCCAACGAATCTCTGACTCGCCCAGATCTCCCAACCCAAAGGCTGAAAAGGACTAATAGCAGCCCCAACGAGACCTCTAAAGCTGACCACACCCTCCAGACCCTAAGTCCTAAGCCCCCCAACCTCGAAATTCCTGAACCCTAAGCCCTCAAATCCCTAAACCCTGTAGCTTAAAGCGAATCCCATACTGTAAACCCTAAGCGCGAACTCTCCTTCCTACCCCCCCAAAAAAATCCAAACGCAAAGCGCGGACGGCCTTTTGCTCCCACATCGCCAGGCCCAGCCCAACGGAGACGAAGGAGGAGAAGACTGATGCCTGCCAGAGGGTTTAGGGTTTGGGTGCTTCAGAGTTTAGGTTTTAGGGCTTAGGCGGTTTAAGCGGCTTGGAGTTTGGGGCTTAGGCGGTATAGGGTTTAGGTTAGGGCTCAAGGGGTTTAAACGGTTCACTCATGCTCTATGATCTGGGAATGAGCTAAGCATGTTTCTAGGGATCAAAATGGCTTCAGGGCTAGGGCCGCTAGGGGTCTTTGAAGCGTTCTGGGGCTTAATGTGGGTTGGAGGCCAAGGGTTTGGGCTTGAGCGGCCGAGGGTTTGGGAAGAAGGTCTGGTGCTAGCCAAAACGTCAGGGACTTCCCTGCACTATGGAACAGCATGCTGATGCCACGATCGGGTGAAGTCTGAGGCCAGTGACGAGCGAAGTTGAGTTTAATGCAACACGTACCACAACCACAACCCCCCCACCACCACCACCACCAGCAGCAAGACAGCAGCAGCAGCATCATCATCATCATCAACACCAGCAACACCACCGCGATGAGGGCAGCGGCGGCGGAGGCAGCGGCGGCGACGGCGGCGACGGCGGCGACGGCGGCGACGACGACGACGGCCACGACAATGACCACGACACCGACCACGACCACGACAACAACCACGACTACGACGAGGACGACGACGAAGTCGATGAGGACGACGAGGAAGACGACGAGGATGACAACGAGGATGATGACGAGGACGACAAAGAGAACGACGACGAGGACAACGAGGACGACGACCACCACCCACACCAGCACCATCACCACCACTACTCCTCCTCCTCCCCTTTCTCCTGCTCCTCCTCCTCCAACACCATCACCACCACTACCACCACTGCCACTGCTGAAATCCCCACACCCTTATACCCTTGAAATCGTCTATGAGTCTACGTGAGCCCAAAACCCTGAAACTGCAAAGCCTCAGAGCTGAACTGTATACCCCAAGCCCTACAAGCTACAACTCAAGGTTCTCAAGACATTCGACCCTAAAATCTGAACCCTAAAGCCCAAAGCCCCAAAATCTGGACCCTAAACCCAATCCACAGAACCCCTACCACCCTCTTAAGCCCTGAGCCGTACACACATACACCTCTAAGAAGGTAAGAACTTGCCTGGAGTAGGGCCGTAGCCCCCTCGGCCTCGATTCCACCAGGGATGGCCCAAATGACCTAGATTTGTGTTTGTTGTTAACGTTATTCGGTTTGTCTTGTATTGCGTTGTATGGAATCAGGTCTGATAGGTGTAATTAAAGTTCATTTATTTTCTAGTCTAGAGCTTAGGTCTTCTTAGGTCTTGTAGCACTTATAGGCTTGAGGGCTTCCTGTCTTCGGTTTTAGACTTGTTTGGCTGTTTGGTTGATGGGAGCCTCTCTCACGAAAAGCTGGAGACAGAAGACGACTGTCAGCTGAATTTGATTCTAGGTTTTTGGATGGGCCCCAGGGTTGAAATGTAGGAATCCACAGACTCCACATGCCCAAGAAACATCTCATGTTCTTTAGAATCAATTCCGGCACTGCTAAAGGAACCTGACGGTTTACTGGGGTCTAGTAAGGCCCCCAAACATTCCAAGGAGCTTCGAGCCATGGATGACGCGCTCTCAAGGCTCACATGGGGCGTTTGCCAGCGTGCTTCTGAACGCCGTTGTCTTGTAATAAGCGCTACCAGTCGGACCCAACTAGTAGGAGCAGCATTTGCACGTATACCATAGCAAAGACCAGTTTGGCAAGCGCGGGAAGCACGATTTTCTGAATTTTAGACAGAGCACGATTTTCAGAATTTTAGACAAAGCGCTGAATCAACAGTTTCACCTTGTACATACAAGCACCTGGAGCGTTACGAAGAGGCGGCCATGTATCACGATTTACTCACTGTTTGTTCAACCCCTACATCAGTCCTAAACCCTAAACCCCTAAGCTTAAACCCTAGATATAATTTTCCACCAAGTAGCCAGAGCGTACAGTTGCACCAGGGAGTTTGGTGCAGACTCCAAAATCGCCTGCCAACAATTCGCCAAGGCTAGTTTTTAGGATTTAGGAAATTCGGCTGACGATTTGCGGTCTAGAGCGTAGGGTGCTAGAGATAAACGCCCTTTGGGTGTAAACTGTTAGGATTTTAAGTTTGGGCCTTAGGGCGCTGGATCTGTCGAAGGAGCTCTTCAACCAAGCGACCCCTGCCATGCCACACGTTTTCCACAGCCATCTCTTGGATTGTGGGGGAATGGGACGAGGACGACCCAATAGTCAGGAAACCTTATCAGCCCCAAACCACAGTTTACAGCTTTAGGGTTTAAATTTGAACCTCTGTGGCAGCTGCGAGCAAAGTTTGTTGCACACCGCCAAGGCGCCGAACCCATTCCCCGAAGCCCAAAAACCCTCATCATAGGCGCTTTTCGAACCATAAAGCTTTCCTTCTCAGCCCTTCAACCCTTATGGTCAAAGAACTACCCCTTAAAGCCTAAACATCCTCGACCTTTGAACCTTTGCTCACAAACTCGAGAAAAGAAAGAAGACCCGTTGGACTGGTCCCTACAGCCTCCATCAATCTCAGCGTGTGGAAGTAATCTGTGTCTCCACTGTGCCAGATGCAGCCTCAGGTCTGATTTCGGTCTACCTCTCTGACTTTAATCTACCAAAGTCTGTCACCGTAAGGATGGCAGCCTTGTTCATTGGGTAGTTTGAACCATAATTTTATCCACTGTGCATGTTGGGCACCTATGCCTGTGGGGTCATGGAAAATCCACTGCAGCAGTGTGTAATGAAGATCCCTAAATCGGTAAACGCCTACTCCCGAAAAGTACTGGGGATCGCAATATCAACATATATCAACATCCTCACAGAGCTGGCATTTATTAACGATGGGTCCTAAAACACCAACTATGAAATCACAAGGTCCCTCAGTCCAAGGGCTGCTAAGGTCCCGCTTGAGGTTGCAGGGTGTACGTTGGAGTAGTGTGCTGATGATTGTTTTTGGGTTTAGTGTTTAGGATTTAGGGGTTGAAGGTTGTGGGATTGTGGGTGGGTCATCGCATGTGTTAGAAATGCTGGCATTGTTGGAGCCTCTCGCTCTTATTGGAAAGAGTGACAAGTTTCGTTACTGCTCAGCGTATCACAGCGACCGGTGCTATGAGGCTAGTTTCTTCTGCAGTCTTCCTTTTTTGCTTTGGGAAACATCAAACAGCCCGAGATACACGAGAAGGAAACATACTTGAAAACTGAGCGTGGGACATAGCAGCGACATAGAAGAGCATACATGGGCCAGATTCATGCAGAATCATGCGACGTCTGTTCACGCCTGGCGAATCCTAAGGCCAGCAGGGGCAAAACCAGGAAACAACACATGACTCAGGACTTCCTGGGCATTGGCGCCAACAACACCCAAGCTGCATGCAAAGTGGGTCAATTCTGAAACTGCTGAAATGCCACCCCCGCCGACTCGAAGAAGCCCTGAGCACTATGCTGACACTTCAGCTCGGTGACTGTATGCTTCTGCAAAGATCTGAACCTGGACAAAATTCAAGAAGAAGCCTCAGATGGCTGGCGGAGCGAGGGTCCAGCGGTTCAGTCTGATTTGGCTTCCCGAGCCGCACTGTTAAAGTACTGTATAATTTGAATGCACATACACATGTACTCATATACTAATATATAATTTGAATGCACAAACAATATATGAGTACATATGTATGTATATATGTGTACACATACAAACACATACATATAAACGTACATGTGCATACATACATACATACATACTTACCTACATGTACATACATACATACCAACCTACATACCTACATACCTACATACATACTACATACATACTACATACATACTACATATACATACATCCATGCATGCATGCATGCATACATACATACATACATACACATGTATGTATGTATGTATGTATGTATGTATATATATGTATGTGTATGTGTATGTGTATGTGTATATGTATATGTACATGTATATGTATATGTATATGTATATGTATAATGTATATGTGTATGTATATGTATATGTATATGTATATGTATATGTATAGGTATAGGTATAGGTAGATGTATACACACCAAATGTAAATAAGTGTGCTTGTGATATTACATACAGTCTGTAATCAAAAAATGGAGCTGTTCAATAACTACATAAACTGTGGGTCTCTAATTCTGGGAAGGCCAAACCCGGCCAAGGAAGTGGTTGGGCCGATTTAAGCAGGGCATTTTCTTGAAAAACCAATCGCAGTGACATCGTAAATAACAGAAGCAGCAGGAGGAGGAGGAGGCGAAGGAGCACCATTGATTGTGCAGAGAAAAAAACTCACTCAACAGCGGCCCAGGCAAATTATGCAGACATTTTGACGCAAATTTGTGACATTTCAGCCAGCTGAGTGGATCCTCATAATTAGCTAGCCAGCTAATCGCAGAATGGCCTAAGTTCGAAAATCTTTGAGCTCATCAGTTGCTGAAGCGGTCAAAGGGTGTTTTATGCGATACTAAGATACCGGCTGCCCAATCGAGCGCCTCTGCTCGTAGATTCATCATTGGGCTGTCTGTGGATGTTGAATGGCTGTCCTACGAACCGTACCGCAGCTAATTGGTTTCAAGACCGCAAATCATGGCACCATCCTCAAAACCTGAGCCGTGACTTCCATGAAGTTGGCAGCGCGCGTGCCACCGCTCCGTTCAATGTATCTACCTGCAGCTGGAAACCAAAACGATAGCTGTCATGCACGCCTGTACGCTCATGCAAAAAAACGCTAAATCCCCCTAAGCCCTAAACCCCTAGACCCTACATAGACCTTACCCTTACACTGCTAAGCCGTAAACTCTAAACCTTTGAAACCCAAAGACAGCAGCCATAAACCGCTGAGCCGCTTAACCCCACACCGACGCCTCCGCATCTCAGTCTCAACCAACCGCCTTGGACCCCAGACTCTGTGCCTTTAGCCCGACAGCCCTCACATCCTAGAAGCCTTGAGCCCTAATCCCTTACGCCTTAAATTGTAATCACTAAACCCTCAAACCTAAACCCAACCCCTTAAACCTTAACCCGTAGACCCTAATTTCTAATCGCTAGATTCAAAAGCCTCAGCCCTGAACCCTACCCTAAACCCCAAAACCCAAAACCCTAAACCTTAAACCTTGAACCCTAAACCCTACACCGTTTTCATCCTTAAAATTCTTATTCTTTGCGACGAGGAGCCTGGTAGGCGCTCCGCTACACCTGGCCCAGGGTTTAGGGTTTAGGGGTTTAGGGTTTAGGGGTTTAAGGTTTGGGCTTTAGGGTTCAGGGTTTAAGGCTTAGGGTTTAAGCTTCAGGGCTTAGGGTTTAGCACGCGGGGTTTTGAGGGTTGTACAGTTTCAGGGTTTATGAGGTTGGGCTTTAAGATGTCGCCCTTAACACCACAACATAAGGGCCTGGCAATATGCAGCCTGAATTGGACCAGCCCTGATCGGCTCACCTCTACGGGCCAGGATGACTAACGCTGGCAGCCTGCAGCATTTTCGAAGTCTAGCGGCCTCGCATGCTGTAAGCGTTATGAGAGTTGGTGACGGTGTTCATACTCGTGCTAGTGCTGCAACGGTAATGATACGAGCAACGCCACTCATCATTTCAACAGACAATTACAAGTAGAACACATAGGAAACACACATGTTGATTCAGAAAACATGAAATACACGAGCAGATAAAGAGCTCTGTGTTGCATCTGCTTGCAGCTGACTACCAGGCTGACGCGCGTCTGGCTCTTCAGTATTGCATTGAACGAGACAGGCTGATGCTTCCAGTTATGCAGGTGCAACATCACTGAAACCTTTGTCTTCAGTTCAGAAATCAAATTGCTTCGAAAGGAGAACAGCAAAGCGGTAAAGCTGTGTTGAATAAACGAGCAAAGCACATGCTATCAACCGGAAGGCTTCTATCGACTTGAACAGCGCGTGATCAGTTAGAAAAGAATCGGACGGGCTTGCCCCAAGACAATTCACCAAACGCGTATCCGTGCTATGACTAAACTTTGACTCGCGCGAACTCAGGTGTAGGAAATTAATCAAACACAACACTTCACCACTTGACAGATTTGGCCAAGGATATCATAATTCACTCACTAACATTCCTTTCGCAAAGATAAAAAATGTCAGTTGAAAAGAGCCCGTTCATATCAATCAAGACAATTGCCCGTTCCACGCAGAGAAGACGGGACCAACAACAACAAAAACCGTAAGCATAACATGGGGCCCTATACACTTCTAAGAAGCGCAAGGCTAGCCTGTGTCGTGGTCGATGTCCCCTGCTGGCGCGCCTCCACCTCACTGAAGACAGTCTTGACTGCTAGGGCTCAGGATTGCAGGATGTAAGGTTGGGACTAGGTTTTTCAATTGCACAAATATGGGGCTCAGGATTTGGAGTTTCGGGTTTGGGTTTGAGGGGCTTGGGGGCATGAAAGCCCAACCCACAGACCTCCCCGCCCCCAGCCCCGTCTTCTCAGATCGAATGCCTTCAGAACAACAAGCCCAAAGACAAAACCTAGTTCGAAATGTCAAACATTTTTCCAAGCGCAGTCACGTCATGATCCAACCGCTTGCAGCAGGTGAAGCACTTCACCTAAAGTCAACCGCTTCTCGGTGGGAAGCAACGCGTGATATTCAACGTTGATCCCTGCCTTGAGGATCAGTGGGAGCTCCTCTTCGCGGAAGATAGTTCCAGGATGCGACTTTGAAAGGATGACCACAACCTTTGTATGGGCCGATTCGATTGCCATGTTGACGAAGAAGCGCGAGAAAGCTACCCAGACAGGTCTTAAAGTTTCCCATGCATCTGCTTGCCTGTCATCCAGTAGGCGCAGATCACTCAGCAGAACACCCAGGGCGCATTTTTCCATTGTAAACCCACGCTCCTGCGCAGCTGCTTGTGCGTTTGATCCGCTCCAGAGAACCGGCTGACTGCGGCGCATCTCTCGATGCATTCTGTCCGGGCATAGTTTTGCCACTTGCTGTGCCAAGCCATCAAAAACGACAGTGGCCGCGTCGACCTTCTGAAGGTTAGACAGCTGCAGCCCTTTCAAAAGATCGTTCCACAGACGTTGAGCAGATTTGCCAGATATGCCAAGCACTTTGCACCGTGCCAGCCACCGGCCATATGCTGGATGCTTTCTTCCAGCATGAAGTCTATGTGCCTTATTGAGGCGCGCTGCCTTACACTTAATCCCAGCACATTTTGCACTACAGTATTTCCACATCATGGTCAGGACGACCACGAGGAACAGCAGGTAAACAAACCAGCACATAGCAAACCAGACGAAGCTGGACTCCTCAACACTGTCAGGAGGATTTGCACCGGGCATAGATGGCAAGCACGGTCCATTGGTGGAGAGGTCGCACAGAAGCCCGTCCACCCATACATACATGGCGCCACTAGACGAAAGGTGCACTAAAGGGTCTGTTCTAGTAGAGAAATTGCAATAGCGCGCTGGGAGCTATGTACTGAATGAATGAATGAATGAATGAATGAATGAATGAATGAATGAATGACTGAGTGAGTGAGTGAGTGAATGAATGAATGAATGAACGAACGAATGAATGAATGAATGTATGTATGCATGCAAGTGTGTATGTATGTATCTCTCTCTATCTAGCTATCTATGTATACATATATATATATATATAAATACATAATTATAAATAAAAAATAAATACATATATAGATATATATATATATATGCATATATACATACATATATATATATATATATATATGTGCATATGTATATACTTTTACATACACACACATCTCTCTCTCTCTATATATATATATATACATACACGCACAGCACACACACACACATATATATATATATATACATACATACATACATACATACAAATGGTTACAAATGTGTGTGAGTATCTACCGTGTCTGTCATGTAGCGGCTGTAAGCGGTGCCTCGCTGGCAGATTTGAGACAAACGGCTTCAGTGCTGTTGGAAAGCTCTACCCCTCAACTCTAAATCCCGGACACTCCTAATCATCATTTAGGGCTTAGGGCTTAGGGTTCAGGGTTTAGGATTAGAATGCCAAGATGTCCTCGACGGGTTTCCGGCTACCAGTACAACCTATGTGATCCCACAAGTCCAGGAAGTTGACTGTTTTGGGGTTTAGGGGTTTAGGACTTGAAAGGCTACAGCGGTTATGGTAACGGTTTGCTGTATGCGCGGTGTCGCCGTTGTTTCGAGGGGCCATCGAATGGATTTCGGATGGCTGAAAGAGCGGCTTTGGGACCTGACGGGATGCTGTTGGGGGTAAGGTTCACCGTTGGCCCTCCATTGTAGGGTTTAGGCTTTAGGGGCTTAAAATGTGGTTACGTTATAAATGCTCGGACCTAAAAGCCTAAATCCTGAACCTATGCTTTTGAACCCTGAGCCCTCAAGCTTAAACCCTGGACTCGCAACTCTGAACACCCGAAATCACTTAAGCATTTTTTATACACCGAAGCATTCTTCGGGGTCTGGTTTGATGTCATAGGAGGTGGCCCTGGAACCAGATTCTGATTGGGCGGGGTTGAACTGTCTGAACCGGGGATACAGTGTTCTCTTATCATCATCATCTACTCCTCTTCTTCTTCTACTTCTACTTCTACTTCTACTTCTACTTCTACTTCTACTTCTACTTCTACTTCTACTACTACTACGACGACGACGACGTTTAATAATAATAGTAATAATAATAATTATAATTATAGTTATAATAATAATAATAGTAATAATAATCATAATAGTAGTAGTAATAGTAGTAGTAGTAGTAGTAGTAGTAGTGGTAGTAGTAGTAGTAGAAATAATAAGAAGAAGAAGAAGATTATTAATAATAATAATAATAACCGCAGCAGCATCATCATATGAGGCCCCTTCGGACTGATGGGAAAAAACTCCTTCAGGGTCTCAGGGCTCCAAAACCCTGCAAGGATGCAATCTCTGTGGTAAAGCTCGCCTGGCATCACTCCAAGGGGACCCTCAACAACTCTCTGGTCCTTAATCGGAAAGTAGGGAATGGATTCTAAGAGTAGTCCACCCAGCCTCTCAACTCTACCTAATTCCCAAACCCTATGTGTAATGTAGTGCTACCTACCACCCCAAGTAACTCTATGTCCTAGTACACTGGAGAACACGACCTGCAGGCTCAGGCCGGCACCGAAGGAAATGTAGAGGCTGGAAACTAACCATGCCCAAACGATGACGCCTTCCAGGAGCCGGGTGTCTTTTTAGCTAAGCCAGGTCATGCTCCTTGTAGTGCCTGCTCTTTAGTCGGCTTTCACAGTGAGCAGTAGCGGGCCTGGGGGTTAGGGTGTGGGGTTTAGGGATTGAAGCCAAGAGCCCAATCTCTTGAGACTCACCAACCAATTT